TATATAATATACCGATCGTGAAACACTGACTCTGTATCGTAACGATGGGAATGGAACGTTATTTTAAATACTACAGAGCGCTATACTATTTTGAGAAAAGATACTTCTCAACCGAGAGATAAATCGCGCTTCTTGGATGAAATACTTGATACCGTGCATCTATAGATACATGTATTATGCTTGCGTTACAAGCAATCGAGAAATGTCATCATAGTATGGGAAAAGTTAGCAAGGAAGGCGCCTTTGCTTTTTTTTTTTTTTTTTTTTTGAAAGGAAAAGGGGGGGGGGGGTGCTGGATGCAATTGTCAGTTCGTCTGATGTAAAATTGTGTTTGTTCCTTAAGTTCTCCCAAAACACTTGACATTGACCAAACAGATTTTGTTTTTTTCGTAATTAAATTGCCATAGTTCTGTTCAAGTGGTAGAGGCAACAGAATCGGGTGTTCAGAGGTTCGAGCCCCAGCCCCGCCAGATAGGATCTCTTATGCCTAGAAAAGTCGTTATAATAATACAGTACATTTAATTGAATTTTGCTGTAAGAAACAAACCATCCACTGTAAGTGTGCTTGGAAAATGAGAGAAATGGGAAAAAACGTGTGAATAATATGAAGATTTCAGACTTTAATATGTGGGTTTACCAGACTTTATAGGGGTTTTTAGAAAGAGTTTTACAGCACTTGCAACACAATAACGTCATATAAGTGCCGAAGATTAGAGGTGTTACAAGAGAGTAACAAACACAAAAAAAGGAGGAGAGATCAGGACGATAGATTTTATATGGGTTTGACAGACTTTATGTTGGCTTAATTAACAGACTTTATGAGGGTAAAGCAGACTTATTGTTAGTTTAACAGACTTTCACGTTGTGCGTTGTGCATTCTCCACGAAACAGAAATAGTTGAGGCGTGGAACATAGCTCGGTAAACGTCTGTTTGAGGTCTCTATTGGGAATTTTTGGACCCACTACACGGATTTTTTTCGCCCCTTCCTGCCCACCCAGCAGTAATAGGTACCTAACTTCGAGCTGGGGAAGTAAAGGCGGCGTGGAAAGGAACTGGCCACCCTACCACAATATGCTAAAGTCCCAAGAAGTTGTCTCACTAACAAGGCAATCCCCAATGTCCGGATCGGATGCGGGAACAACTTTACTTTTACACTCATCCGGGGTCTTCTCCCACTCTTAAATGGATAGGGCCAACATTGTAGGTGTGGGGGGGGGGAGGGAGGGGGGGGGGGGGGGGTAGGGTTGACCATAACGTCTTTTGCAAGAACTGATTGTAATTTTTAAAAAAAAGGGAGACCCCAAGAAGACGTTTACCGATGCCGCTTTATATTAGAATAGATTATCACAAGAAGCTTCAATGAGAAGGAGTACACGACTACAAGTTAGTGCCTTGTATTCCTTTTTGAAAGGTATCTCTGTGTTTTTTATCGACATTCTCTTGTACACACACACACACACACACACACACACACACACACACACACACACACACACACACACACATACACACACATACATACACACACACACACACACACACACACACACATATATATATTACATATATATATATATTATTTATATATATAATAATATATATAGGCAAAAAGATGAGCCACTATTGGAGATACAGAAATCAGACAACAGTGCCCACAAAACATTAAAAACACAACTAATGTCGTACAGAGTTCGTAACTTCACACAGCACTGTAGAAAGACCTCAGCGAAAACAGAAACACGACTCCCTGACGAAATACGTCACAATGATTTATGTTCGCACTCATACCCCCCTCCCCACCCCACCCCCCCAAATAGAATAAAATAAAATAAAATAACAAAATAACAAAATAACAAATAAATAAATAAAATTGAATTAAAATTTTTTAAAAATAAATACGGTAAAACACAGGTAATAAGAAATAATGGCAAAAGAAATTGGCTTATCAGCGACGGTGGTGTTCAAACAACCATGTTCACCACGTGTATGATTAATTAGTGTGTAGACAATGTCACCGAAAGTACAGTGCATTTCGTGACCTTTTTACTAACTTACCCTAGATCTATACAGTAAAAACACAACAACAACAAAAATATAAAAACAAACAAACAAACAAAACACCAAAAAAAAAAATAAAACACAAAACCACCCCACTGACAATGTTGAAAACATCACTGCGAATGGTTAAGGCAACAATGTCTCTATTAATTCAAAGGAAAGAAATACTCATAGCATTACTATACTAATATTGTTTTATTTTCATGTGAGTACAATAATAATTGAAGTATTGCTCAGAAAGTTGATTTTGTGCGCTTTTTAGACAGACAATAAGTATTTGCTTTTAGTGCAATATTCAAACTTCTTGCACAAACACAAATAAAAGTAGAGAAAGTGAGACTGGCTATTTGATGAGTTTTAACTAATCATTAATTGTTATGACACAGATAAACACTCACATATAAACACTCATCAACAAATTTTAAATTAATGTATGCATTGGGATTAACTAACTAGTTTATTGTATATGAAAGGTATTTGATATCTGATTATGATTAATAAAAGTACAGTGGTTAGAGTCTTTCTAACTTTCTTTTGTGGCTGCAACACTTGTGTAATCTCAAAACTGACAGACAATACCGTCGGGGTCCCAAGCAATTCACTTTAGTCCGTTTGGGTATTTTTACACCGAGACCCAAAAAAAAAGCTAAATCAACCCCCCATCCCTACCCCCCCTTACCCCCACCCCCAAACAAAAACAAACAAAATCAACACCAAAACAACAAAAAACAACCCAACATAGTCTTTGTCGTGTTATTACTAACAGGAATAATGAAAAGCAAGAAAATTGTAGGCCTTGACCATAGCATTTAACTGCATTTTTGGTGTTGTTGAAAGGTACATCTTTGATATATAATGCTTTGGTAGGGTGTAAAGGTCGAACATTCTCACAACTTGGACCGCAGTGGGTTGCTTGCAACAACGACGATATGATGAGTGCTATGAAAATTTCAATGAGAAGACATTATTTTCGATGTGAGCCATGCGTGATATCGAATGCTATTCAGTTACATCCTCAGACAAAACAAAACATTTGCAGTAAAACTTCAAAGAACTCAATGGACACCATCCAAAACCAAGCTCTTCGTCTTATCTCTGGCGGAATGAGATCCTCACCGACTGCGGCCTGTGAAATCCACACAAATATTGAGCCATTAGAAACTCGAAGAAAACGGGCAGCTTTAGAAATATATGAAAGATCTAAAAGGCTAGAAAATAACCACCCTAATAGAGTCCTTGTTGACAAGTGTAAACCTAATCAAAGACTAAAAAATACAAAATCTGTACTTGACACTGTTCTCAATCTCCAAGAAAAACATCATCTCCCTGAAAGACGAGAACCTCTGGAAAGAGTTCCCTCAACTCTCCCACCACATCTCACCATAGCAAAGCCAGAAATTAGGAAAACACTTTTGGACAAGAGCAATAAAAACACATATCCTGTAGCACTAAAACATTCTGCCCTTGAAACAATTGATTCCTATCCACCAACATGGATCCACTCATACACTGATGGATCTGCCTTTAAGGCAACAATCAACGCTGGATATGGGTCAGTGATCAACTTGCCCAATGGGGAAGAAAAAGAAGTCTTCAACTCCAGCAGGTCCTTCTGCTCCAATTTCATTGCCGAACAACAGGCTATCACCAACACAGCAAACTACATCAACTACTTGTTTGACACTAACCCACTTGCTACCACAGACATCGTTATATTTACAGACAGCCTTTCAACACTAGAGACACTTGAGAGTGGGACTGATGTGAACAAAGATATATTGCATTTGATTTGGAGTCTACATAACTTGATAAGTAGGCACCACGTCAGAGTAGTCCTACAATGGATTCCTGCCCACACTGGGATACCGGGAAATGAAAGAGCTGATGCTCTGGCAAAGAAAGGAGCTTGTCTCCCTCAGCCTGAAATTCCTACGAACTACACCACCTGCTGCCAAATGATCAAGTCAAACCTCAAGGAAGAGTGGATGATTGATTGGGCCACAGGTACGACAGGAAGGAGGATGTATGGCCACATGAATAAACCACTGGTCAAAGATCCAATCAATGAGTTGAGGAGGGGAGATCAATCCATAATCTTCCAACTTAGAACACAACATGTACCCCTCAACCAACATCTCAACCGAATAGGAGTAAAGCAGTCTGCTGCCTGCCCACTATGTGACTACCCCTCAGAGACAGTGGAATATCATCTGTTTTTCTGTAGAAAACTAACTGATTTAAGGCGATGTTTTCTTCACAAGCTACCCCACACATCTAATTGCCTCTACTCCTCAAGACAACAATTAAAACAAACATGCAACTATTACCGAATGGCATCATGCAGAAGAGTTAACGCTCAGATGCTACTGGATCGCTAACAACAACAACAACATCCTCAGACAAAGAGATTCATAGAGAACTGTTTTTCTAAAAAGAGCTTCGGTGTGGACTATCTACACAAAAAATAAGTTTGAAAGGCTTACGGAGAGCTGACCTTTAAATAAATTATATAAGAGCAATTACTGAAGTCTTAGGCTCATCAATGTATGAATTATCAAATTTATGAAATAATCAAATGTGATGATTCTGATAAAATTTATATTCAGTTGTTTTCAATATTCAGCACCAGTGTCTGAGTATTATAGTTCGACATTTCGCCTTATTTACAAAAGGACACAAGAGAAGGTGTTTTAACAATCGCCACCTCAGAATTACAAAGCTCTATCTGACATTTTTGGCAGTTTTGAGAACCTAAGACCATGAGATCAGAAACAAAATGTTTTATCTCCTCTAGTAAAATCGTAAAAACTTTCAGAGTCGTTTTCCAGATATTCAAAAAACTGCTTTCGAAAAAGCTTGATATGATGTGAAACTCAACATCTTTGACGTCAAATTTCTCAAAACTAGGTGCCGAGCAGAAAAAACCGGTGTAATTTTGAGGTAGCGAAGTGTGTCTGTCTGTCTGTCTGTCTGGTGAGATGTACGCCCGTTTTCCCCGCTGACAGGCAAGGTCGTAACTGTCCGCTTCCTCTAATATCACAATCACATCGGGAAAGAGGAGGGGGGAAAAGGGGGGGGGGGTTCACAACAAATTAAAACAGTTTTCTGAGAGGAAAAAGATTCTGACAATTTTGGCTCATGAGAGAGCAACTTTTTAAAAGACTCTGCTTGGAGCTTCTTCTCCCTTTAATGCCACAAGAACTGTTCTGTTTTTCTCCGTAAATAACACAGGACGTCACAAAATGTTTCTGTTTCTCACCACTGCATGAGGCTTGACCTCGTTCTTCCGCAGTTCAAGTTAAGTACATTAACATCCCAGTAACTCATGAGTGAAACAACGAGCTTCGACTTATAACACATAAGTAATCTTCAAAACACTGACGTAAGTGCCTGGCGAATGAGCGACGATGGGAATGTAGCCACGGGCGGCGCCTAAAGAATAGGGTTATAGATGACTGCCGCTACACGTGTGTGCAATAAACCGTGTTAAGTTTCCTTGCTGTTGTTTAGGGAGCTCTGACTTCCCTTACCATGATGATTTATATTTCGTTCTCCCAGAAATGTCTATGACGTCAGTCCGAAACCTGCCCCTCGGAGTTCGAGTCGGTGACGTCAGCCTGGCGTCAGCAGGACATACTCGGGGCCAGTTTAGACTCGTCACGTGACAAACTTGCGTGAAGCCGTCGCCGTGGCAACCTGAGAGCCTTCCGGACCTCATCTCGGAACTGCTTGTTGCACATCCCGTACACGATGGGGTTCGCCACGTTGTTGACCAGGTAGGAGCGGGAAAACACGTTGACGACCACCTGGGCTCCCGGACTCAGCGACGGGTAGAACAAAGGCCCGACGTGCTGACGGATGATCATGATGATGAGAAAGGGGACGAAGGACAAGACGAAGACGGCGCTGATCGCGAACAGCATGAGCGTAGACTTCGGCGGCCTCAACCGCGCGCCGCGCCAGCTGCTGAAGTGGCTCCCGAGGTCCCCCGCACAACGCCCACTCCCACAGACGTGAGTCTCCGGCTCGGCGGCACTTTCCTGCGTCACTGACGGTTCAGCGGTGATCATTCCGCTTACGCCCAACGTCAAGCCGGCCTCTCCCGTATTGAGGTGACATCCGTTCTCGCTATTTAGCGGCACGTCAGCGTTCTCTGCGTCCTCTCTCGCTTTCTCCGCCTCGAACTCCACCATCTTCTTCTTCCTCCTCTTCTTGGCTCGTCGTCGCTTCAACATCACCTTCCCGATGAGGCTGTAGAGAACGGACAGGATCAGGAAGCAGAAGCTCACCCCGCACCATAAGTAGCCGAAGAACGCCATAGGGTAGGGGGTCGAGTCCATCTCGTTCCGGACGGCACAGATGACACCGAGGATGTGTCCGGTGGCCGGAGGTGGGCGGGGCAGAGGGACGACCTTGCTTCCGTATAGGACGATAGCTGGCCACGACACGCCCACTCCGACAAACAGAGAGACGAAGCAGGCAACATTGGCGCTGGGGGGAAAAGGATAAACAGAAACATTGATCTATGATCAGGAAGTTGGCTTTTGCATTAGTCTTTAACGCCAATCTTTGTTAGAGCAGACAGACTTACGTTTTCTAGGTTTTCAAAGCTAATAGAGAGCGTGCAAACAAACCAAAACAAACAAACCAAAACAACGACAACAACAGAAAACTCCCAAACAAAAACAAACTAAAAAACCCAACAACAGCAACAACAACAACAACAACAACAACACACACACATGTGTGCGTGCGTGCACACACACACACATGCGCACGCCCACGCACCCACGCACACATGCAAACGCACACACAACCACACGCATAAACCCACTCATACATACAGGTAAAGAAAGAGAGAGAGACGGCTAGAGGCTGACAGATAGATAGATAGATAGATAGATAGATAGACAGAGAGAAAGCGAGAGAGAGCTAGCTAGAGAGAAAGCGAGAGA